TCCTCTTCCTCTTCTTCCTCTTGTACTTTTTATAAGTGCATTCCATCCTCCTCCTTCTCCCTTCTTCTTCTTCCTCTTCCTCCTCTTCCTCTTCTTCCTCTTCCTCCTCCTCTTCTTTCCTCTTCCTCTTGTTCTTCTTCTTTATAAGTGTATTCCATCTTCCTCCTCTTTCTCCTCCTCTTCTCCTCTTTTATTTATTTTTATTTATTTTATTTGTTTGGCCAATTGCTTACAAGATAATTGGTATAAGTAAAAACATAGTTATGAATACATGGATACATATAAGAAAAATAAAAAGGAACAATAGGACAGGGACGGTAGTCACGTTGGTGCGCTTATGCACACCCCCTACAAACCTCTTAGGAAAGGGGTGAGGTCAATAGTAGACAGTCTAAGGTTAAAGTTTTTGGAGTTTGGGGAAGAAACCACAGAGTTGTCCTCCTTCTTTTCTTCCTTTTCCTCTTCTCCTCCTCCTCCTCTTCCTCCTTCTCCTTCCCCCCTCTCCGCCTCCTCCTCTTCCTGCTCCTCTTCCTCCTTCCCTGCTCCTCTTCCTTATCCCCAAAGGATATCATGCTGAACCAAAACCTAAGCTCGGAAGCCTGATCCAAATTCCCAGCGTGCTGTGCAATCTGTGTCAACAGAAGAACATGGGAACAAAAACCCCCACTCCAATTATTTGTGTGATTTTAGTTATTAAATGAAAAGCTGTTCCTCTGACTGTAAATCCAATAGGGTTAATGCATGGCTGCTCAATTTGTTTCTAGTTTCTCTTTCTTTTTAAATTGGTTTGCCCTTAATCACCAATCCGGTCATCTTTTTAAAAAAAAAAGTATCTAATTTTTCTTAATGCGTTTTTGACAGAAAATCCCTGGTCTCTGTGGATTTGGACAAGTGACATTAAAGGTGCTGGAACAGATGCTCCCATCTTCCTCCAGGTTTACGGTGACAAAGGAAAATCTGATGAAATGAAATTAGACAATAACTCCGACAACTTTGAAGCTGGACAAATTGACAAATTCGTGGTATGGTTTTTCTTGTGTTATATTTCTGCTTCAACCTCAGTGGAAATGTTGTTACTTGCGACAGGCTGACGGAGTGGTTAGAATGCAGCACAGGTAGTCCTCGACTTACAACAGTCCATTTAATGACTGTTCAAAAGCAGTGGTGGTATTCAATTTTTTTTTTTTTTACTACCGGCTCTGTGGGTGTAGCTTGGTGGGTGTGACTTGGTGGGCGTGGCAGGGGAAGGATACTGCAAAATCCCCATTCCCTCCCCACTCCACTAACCTGCTTTCCAGCTCCGTTCTCCTCACCCTTGACAGCTTTAAGATATGAATTGATGGCAGATGCCCTGCAAAGAGACAGACAAGAGATGATTAATGAAATGGATGATATCTATAGGGTGTATATCATCTATGCCAGACGCCATAGACTTCCTAGAGAGGTCCTTATAAGATTTGCAAGATGGAAAAGTAAGGGACATCATTTATAAAATTACCAGGAAAGAACCAATAACTTACAAGGGAAAAGAAATAGTCATATTAAAATAGATTCCAAGGAGAGTACACAAACAACTAAAAGACTACCGAATCTTGGCTAACCATCTAAATAAAAATGATGGATTACCCCAGAAGGCATGTTGATTACATGGAATGATAAGAAAATAAAAATCGATAACCTGGGGAAAGCTCAAGATTTCTATGTGACTCCTCCCTTCCGCTATATCCGCAGAATACTGAATTACAGCATATAGTCTTTATAGATGTTCTCTTTAGACATGCATGCATATATTAAGTCTAAATTTGATATTCCCTTATCTGTATATGTGAATCAGTGATCTTAAAGGACAATATAGTTTTGTTTATTAACATAAATTAAGAATTGAGAATCAATACAGACAATATGTTTAAAAAACAGTCAAATTCTATGCATATATATGGCATTTAATGTACTGCCAAGGAATGGTATGGAAACATGTCGACATAACCTCTATCATAGAAACTTTTGTAAATCTTTTTAATATTTTGGTTTTTTGTAAACTTTTTAATACCTTGAACTTCAGTAAAGTTTTGTTTTAAAATTGAAAAAAAAAAAGATATATGGACTTCAATTCCCAGAATTCCACAGCCACCTCTGGAATTCTGGGAGTTGAAGTCCACATATCTGAAACCTGCCAAAGTTGAGAAACTCCGAAATAGGTCATAAAAAATATAGCACGTTTAAAACAGGGGTGGGATTCTCCTGGTTCAGACCGGTTCTATAGAACCGGTTGTTATGATTCTGCGCAGTTCGGAGAACCAGCAAATCATGCCCCTGGCTGGCCTGCCCTTCTCCACCTGTCCCTCCCCTTCCCGCCCAGTCAGTTCTTATCGAGCACGTGCAACATTGCCCGCATGCTCGACATCGCTGACTGGATTCTTCCCCGCCCAGTCACTCCGTAAGGTATTTCTCTTTTTTCCATGACAACCAGTCAGAGGAGGACCCAAGCCCGTCCCCTCTCCATCCTAGGGCGCGCTGGGAGAAGAGGATAAGGGAAAGAAGTGGTCTACTCGGAAGGAGAGGGCCTTGATCCTCTTCATGGGCTGCAGCTGTGACAACTGAATAAGAGGATGGACAAGTGTACGGGCAAGTGCTGGAAACAAAGCATGGAAATATCTCTAGTTTATGGTTCCTCTCTGTGTTTGGCGTCCTTCCCAGTGTGTGTTCTGATACCTGTGGACATCTTCCAGCCCTTATCTTGCCTGTTGTATTGTTGTTTACTCTTTACAATTTAAACTGCATTTCCTCCTTCTTGTAACTACTTGTGTGGGAGTTTTTTGTCTCCAGTTAAGGCAATTTGGAGCTTGGAAGCAAATTGAAGGAATAAAAGGGGCTTCACCTGTTTTTTCTACCTGCTTTTATTTTATATCCCACCCTGGGTCATCACAGAGAAATTTCCTGACATTTAGAACAATTAATCAATGGAATGACTTGCCTACAGAAGTTGTGGATGATCCAACACTGGAAGTTTTTAAGAATAGGTTGCACAATCATTTGTCTGAAATAGCATAGGGTTTCCTGCCTGAGCAGGGGGTTAGACTAGAAGACCTCCAAAGTCCCTTCCAACTCTGTTACTCTGAAATTTTTCGGCAAGTAGGTTAACTTGAGCCCGGTCATTTATGCTTCAAGGGACAATTCTATGAACCTCGTTATATAGTTTAGCACAAACAGTAAACAAAACGTATAGGTACATGAGAAGATATAAGATGATCGGATGTTTTAAGATGATTAGTTACATTCAGTTGAAGGCATATTAAGAGGTATACATGCTAGTCCTAGAACTAAGGTGAAATTTCCTGATATTTAGAGCAATTAATCAGAAGAACAGCTTGTCTCCAGAAATTGTGGGTGCCCCAACACTAGAAGTTTTAAGAAGAGATTGGACAGCCATTTGTCTGATATGGTATATTCCATGCTGGAGCAGAAAGATGGATTAGAAGATTTCCAAGGACCCTTCCAACTCTATTATTAAGTTGTATCAGAGGTGGTATTCAACAGGTTCTGACCAGTTCTGGAGAACCAGTAGTAGAAATTTTGAGTAGTTTGGAGAATCGGCAAATCCCACCTCTTACTGGCTCCGCCCCCCATTTCTTCTCTGCCTCCCGAGTCCCAGCTGATCGGCTGGGTCTTCTTTGGTTGCCCTGCAGAGGAGAACGGAGCTGGAAAGCAGGTGAGTGGGGTGGGGAGGGAATGGAGATTTTACAGTATCCCTGCCACGCCCACCAAGCCACGCCCAACAAGCCAGGAACCAGTAGTAAATTTTTTTGAATCCCACCACTGAGTTGTATGCACCTGAAGGCAGGACAAGAAGCAATGGATGAAACTAATCAAGGAGAGAACCAGCCTAAAACTAAGGCGAGATTTCCTGACAGTCAGAACAATCAATCCATGGAACAAGTTGCCTTCAGAAGCTCTGGGTGCTCCAACACTGGAGGATTTTAAGGAGGGATTCGACAACCATTGGTCTGAAATAGTATAGGATCTCCTGCTTGTGCAGGGGGGGTTGGACTAGATGATCTCCAAGGTCCCCCTTCCATCTTTGTTATTCCGTTATGCTTGTTTGTATAGATTGAGCTCCCGAATCTGGGTACGTTATTCAAAGTTCGGATATGGCACGAGAAACGGAGTCCTTTTTCTGGCTGGCATCTCAACAAGGTAAGGAAAATAGCGCTAAGAGTGGCACAAATGCTTTACTAATAGCCTTTTGAGAGCTCACAGATGACTCTAACGCTGACCCGGGGTTGATATTCAGGAAGAGCTAGCAGATGTTCCACCCTTAAGGACCACTTTTGCCATTCGAAAGCTCTGGCACATCATTTCTAATCTTGATTATCCACTTTGAGCCATTGGAGTGGACATACTTGTCCATTTCTGCCCATTGTGTTTGAAGATGGTAGTTACCCAAATGGGAACAGATGTCACTCGAGAACAGCAAAAGGGACAAAGAGGTATATTGCAAAAAATAAGTCTTGCAACTTACAACCGTTCGTTTGGTGGCCATTCAGAGTTACAACGGGACTGAAAAAAAGGACTTATGATCGTATTTTTTCCACACTTGCTACGTTTGCAGCCTCCCTGTGGTCACACGATCAAAATTCAGAGGCTTGCCAGCTGTCTCATATTTATGATGGTTGCGTGTGGTTCCCTTTTGTGAACGTCTGAGAAGCAAAGTCAAGGAGGAAGCCACTTTTTAAAAAAAAAAATTTTTTTTTATTAGATATAATCTTTAAAAACATTGAACGTGGTAGACTTCTTTGACCTACGTTTTTGTTGTTACATGTTACGTTAGGTCCGTGATGGCAAACCTATGGCACACGTGCCACAGGTGGCACGCAGAGCCATTTGGGCCAGCACGCGAGCTGTAGGCAAACTTAACTCACTGCGCATGTGCGCACCTCACAGCTGATTTTTCGGCCGGTTTGCGGCCTTTTTTGGCCTCCCAAAGGCTTGAGAAAAACTTCTGTAGGCTTCAGCAAGCTTTGTAGGCCGAAAACTAGCCCTGTTTTGTCACTTCCGGTTTTTCCAAAAATACCGGACATGACAAAATGGGGCTAGTTTTCAGCCTGCAAAGCCTGCAGAAGCCTGGAGAAGCCTTCTTCAAGCCTCTGGGAGGCCGAAAAAGGCCTCAAACTGGCCGAAAATCAGCTGTGAGGCACAGTGCAGCTAAGGGGATGGCAGGGGGTGGATGGGTGGGGATTGTGCATGCATGCGTAGGGTGTGTGTGGGGGGGCACGCATTTCCTTCTGGGTGCTGGCACATGAGCGCGAGCATGCAAGCACGTGCACAATTTTTGGCACAGGAGCCCAAAAAGGTTAGCCACCACTGTGTTAGGTACTCTAATATTTTGTACATTTATATACATATATACATTAAATCTTTATACATTTTAAATCCTTTCTGTTACCTTTCAGTTAAATTTTGTGAACTCCCTTTCATTTCCCTCCAGTGGTATTTTTTTTTTTTCATATTATATAGTATTCTGACTTGTCTTTACCCTTAGTTCCAATGCCAACCTATCGATTTCGGCGCATTATAATATCTTATCCATCACCACATCTTCCCTAGGAATTTCTCTAGCCTTCCAGTTTTGGGCAAATATCATTCTTGCTGCTGTAATTACATGGATTATTAGGTAGGTGTCAGCTTTACTATACTTCTGTGCCATAATTCCCAATAAGAACATCTCAGGTTTGTAATTTATTTTTGCCCCATAATTTCCTCTAATCACAGCCAAATTTTATACCAAAACTCCTGAGCCTTTTTACAGGACCACCGCACATGGTAATTGTGCCCTGTTCTTTCAAACATTTCCAACAATTAGGTGATTGGTTTCCGTACATTTTGGCCAATCTTGCTGGTGGGAGATTCAATTAACAACCGTGTTGCTAACTTAACAACTGCAGGGGTTCACTTATATTACAAGCAACCTGAAAAATCATGCTAGGGCTTATTCTCTAGGTCTTATTTTCAGGGAAACATGGCAGTTCCAACCCTTCAGCCATTGTATAATTCTTTATTGTTGCTTTCATCTCTAAGGAAAGGATGACGTTTACCTGTAAGATTCTTCTTTTCTTCCTTGATCCAGAATATTATTAATAAGGACGCAAAGTTTTGCAAATTCATCCTCACCTTGGTCTTAAGCATGTTTACCCAAAAATAATCCTTCTAAGTTCATGATGGTGAACCTATGGCATGCGTGCCACAGAAGGCACGCAGAGCCATTTGTGCCGGCTTGTGAGCTGCAGGCAAACTTACCTCATTGCACATGTGCATGTCTCACAGCTGAGTTTTGGCTGGTTTGCGGCCTTTTTTGGCCTCCCAAAGGCTTGAGGAAGGCTTCTGCAGGCTTCTACAAGCTTTGTAGGCTGAAATCTAGCCCCATTTCATCACTTCCGGTATTTTCGGAAAAACAGGAAGTGACAAAACGGGGCTAGATTTCGCCCTACAAAGCTTGTAGAAGCCTGCAGAAGCCTTCCTCAAGCGTTAGGGAGGCTGAAAAAAGCCTCGAACTGCCCAAAAATCAGCTGTGAGATGCAGTGCATGTAAGTGTGGGGGTGTGTGATTGTGCATGCATTCATAGGGGATGTAGGGGGCATGCATTGCCTTCTGGGTGCTGGCACACGAGCGTGCAAGTGCGCGCACAATTTTTGGCACAGGAGCCCCAAAAGGTTAGCCATCACTGCTCTAAGTGCATGGAACCTGCTGTCTAGTTAAATGTTTTGAGATTAACCATTTTACAGTGTAATCCTACATGTTTATCCAGATGTGAGCTTATAGCCTGGGCCAACAGAAAGGAAGTCCTGATTTATTAGACAGATGATATAAACTTCTTAAACATATCTGAAGTGCAAACAGTTTAAATACCAAAGACTTCAGGTTCTCCCTTAACAGAAGAGAACGTTAACAAGTTTCAGAAGGAATCTTTTGCTGTTTTCCCAATTCACCTTGTTTTTATTCACATAAATCCCTCGTCACCATCTCCTTCCAAGTACTGTGAGATTCCAAATATGCCCGATATATCGCTGGGGTTTCTTTTTTCAATTATTCAAGGTCACTCTTTTGAAAACTCTGACGAAAGAGAAGTACACCTTCAATTGTGGACGTTGGTTAGATGTCAATGAGGATGACAATGAGATTGTGCGGGAGTTGGCAGCAGAAGGACCACTGGTGGCCGAAGTGATGCCAGGTGAGAAGAAAGAGGGAGGAAGGAGAAGCTCGGAAGCTGTTTGTTTAACTGTTGGAGATTCCTTCCCTGACTTAGCATTATGCCAATGATCACCATTTCTCTCTCTCTCTCTCTCTCTCTCTCTCTCATCCTCTATCTATCATCCATCTGTCTGTCTGGTTTTCTCCATCCGTCTGTCTGTCTGTCTGTCTGTCTGTCTGTCTATCTATCTATCTATCTATCTATCTATCTATCTATCTATCTATCTATCTTCTCTATGTATCTATCATTTCTCTCTTCTGTCTGTTTGTCTACCTCTCTCTCTCTCTCATCTCTCTCTCATCTCTCTCTTTCTCTCTCTCTATTATGTCCCTCTCTCTTTCTCTCTCTGTCTACCTCCCTCCCTCCCTATCTATCAAATCTCTATATTGTCCATCTCCCCTACAAAGTGACTCTGGGTGGCATAAAATTATAAAATCAGGTGAAAAATACTTAAAAGATTAAAACAAGCCAATATTAAAATATTATAAATGGTCCTCAACTTACAATTCTTCATTTAGGGACTATTCGAAATTACAACAGTGCTGTAAAAAAGTCACCTATGATCCTTTTTCATGCTTACAATCATTGGGTGTTCCACGTAGTCATGTGATCAAAATGCAGACCCTTGGCCACTGGTTCAATGCAATGTCCCGGGGTCCTGGGACCACCTTTTGCAAACTTCTGACAAGCAAAGTCAGTGGGGAAGCCAGATCCACTTAACGATTGTGTTAAAGTGGTAACGGAGTTACCAACTTAACAACTGCGGCGATTCACTTAACAACTGTGGCAGGGGAGGTTGTAAAACAGGCCCAAACTCACTTAACAACTATCTCGCTGAGCACAGACATTTTGGGCTCAATTGTAGTTGTACATCGAGGACTACTTTAGAAGATTAGATTGTCTTCTTTGGTCAAGTTCTTTGGAATATAGGTAAAGGTAAAGGTTCCCCTTGCACATACATCCTAGTTGTTTCTGGCTCTAGGGAGCAGTGCTCACTTCCGTTACAAAGCTGAAGAGCCAGCGCTGTCCAAAGACATCTCCATGGTCAAGTGGCTGGCATGACTAAACGCCGAAGGTGCACGGAACACTGTTACCTTCCCACCAAAATGGTCCCTATTTTTCTATTTGCATTTTTACATGCTTTCGAACTGCTAGATTGGCAGAAGCTGGGACAAGTAACGGGAGCTCACTCCATTACGTGGCGCCAGGGATTCGAACCGCCAAACTGCCGATTCTGATCAACAAGTTCAGCATCTTAGCCACTGAGCCATTGCGTCCCTGTGGAACGCATCCTTCTTTGGAATAGGACAGGACAAGGCTCCCCGAAAGCTGGCCAGCTCAATCTTACTGGAGTGCTTTATTTGCACTTGAGAAGTGGTTGATGTTTACCCTGGCTGTCCCTGCCAGCACCAACTTGCTCATGGATCTGTATGCAGAGGGGAGCTTCCCTAAGACGTTGTTGGGATGATTACAATTGCAAATGTTATGATTAAAGTGTCAACCAGCCTTTGATGAAGGTTATTTTTAATCCACTGTGTGCAGTGGCTGTGAGGACTGATGCACCTCCATCAAGTGCTATTTGCCAACTTCCATAAAGCCGAAGTTTTATTTCAGTTTTTAAGACTAGCTGCATAGCTCCATAACAGTGGGATATGGGCTAGTTAACCGCTGAAATTTGTAAAATGAGTTTGACATTCCTGATTTAATCTATCTACTTACTTGCCGATCTCTCTATCTCATCTCTCATCTATCTATCTATCTATCTATCTATCTATCTATCTATCTATCTATCTATCATCTATGTATGTATGTATGTATGTATGTATGTATGTATGTAGTATGTATGTATCTATCTATCTGTCTATCTGTCCGTCTGTCTGTCTGTCTGTCTGT